AAGTTGGTCGCGCTGGGTAGTAGTAGTCGGTAATCAATATTATCCGAAGCAAGTCGTGAGCGTGTGATCAATGATATGCAATACTTATACATAAATATCCATTTTGAGGTTTCGAAAGTATGGGACTAAAATTCGACATCTATCAAACTACGGTGTTAACCCAAGTTTTTATTTCAATTTCAAAGTCCGACATTGACGAAAATTGATTCTATGGACTACAAAAACCGTGGTTCTGCAGCAGATACATGTCGCGCTTGAAGATCAAAAATTCTATGACTACAAGAATTTCAAATAATTTTTTTTTCATTTCAGGTATGAAGAAATTAATACCATACCATTTATGGATTATTTGGGTCCACCGATACAAGTGAATGCCATCGCAAATATTATTGAAGACTTTTTGGCATTTTTGATCCTTTTCAATTATATGATACCAATATCGATGTATATGAATATTGAGCTATATCGTGTGTTGAATGCCTTCTTTATACAACAAGATCAGAAATTATATGATTCGGAGACAGATCAAAGGGCTGTGGTAAATTCTTCTAACCTCAATGAAGATTTGGGACAAGTGAATATTCTGTTTTCCGATAAAACTGGTACTTTGACCAAAAATGAAATGATATTTCAACAATGTTCAATTGGCGGAGTGAAATATATGTATCGTAATTATTTTTTGGAAAATGTTGAAACGAAGAAAATGTTGAGTGTAAAGGAATTTGAGGTAAGGTGTGGTTAGTTCGGGTAATACAATTTATGGGTAAAATTTGTTCTTTGATTCTAGGACAAAGAAAAGGAGTTCTTCAGGGCTTTGACATTATGTCACACCGTACAAATTGCCCAAAGCCAATTGGAAGATACTGCCTATGATCTATTGGAATATCAGGCATCCAGTCCCGATGAGAAAGCCTTACTGGAAGCTTGCCGCCAATTGGGTTTCATCTATCTTGGAGATGATAATGATCTGTTAAAAGTTAAAATTTTGTTAGATTCCAAAGGCAGTGAATCGAAAATTGAATCCCATAAACGTTTAAATATTTTGGAATTTTCTTCGGAACGTAAACGTATGAGTGTAATAGTGGCGGACAGCGAAAATCGTAAATGGTTATATACCAAAGGTGCAGAAAGTGCAGTATTCGAATTGTGTTCGGAAGAATCGAAAGAGATGATACGGCAAACAGATCCTCATATCACAGAATTTGCAAAGGAAGGTTTGCGGACATTGGCTGTAGCTAGAAGGCTCATACCCGAAGATGAATATGAAGAATTTTGTAATGATGTGATGATAGCCCAGAATACTCTGGAAAGTAGGCAGGAGTTAATGGATGAATGCTACAAACGGGTTGAGTGTGGTATGTATGGAATTTGATTCGATTTTTCTGGAATCTAAATTATGAATGAAAAATTGCTTCCCACAGATTTGGAACTGTTGGGCGCCACTGCTGTAGAGGATGCTCTGCAAGAAAATGTATGCGAAACTCTAACTGCATTACAAAAAGCTGGCATGAAAATATGGGTCTTGACTGGTGACAAAGTGGAGACAGCTGTGAACATTGCTCTAGCCTGTGGTCACATACCACCGGATGCCCAACAACATTTTGTTGTCAATTATCACAGCAAGGAGGAAGTATTGGATGCTTTACAAAAACTGGAGGGGAATTGTGAAAATAATAACGAGAACTCAAAACATGCCCTAATTATGGATGGTCCTAGTTTGGCAATAGCCCTAAAAGAAATACCCGAAGAATTCCGTAATACCGCCCTGAAATGTACAGCTGTGCTTTGCTGTCGCCTCAACCCTCTGCAGAAATCTGAAGTTGTTACCTTGGTTAAGAAACAAAAAGGCTTTCTCACCGCCGCCATTGGTGATGGTGCCAATGATGTGTCCATGATACAGGAGGCCGATGTCGGCATTGGCATTATGGGTAAAGAAGGTCTACAAGCGGCACGTTGTTCAGATTTTTCTATAGCGAAATTTTTTATGCTTCAACGATTGCTGCTGGTTCATGGTCACTATAATACGGCACGTCTTTCGTTTTTGGTGTTGTTCTATTGCTACAAGAATATTTTGATTACTGGAATAATGGTTCTGTTTCAAATATATGATTTGTTTTCATCGACATCGGTCTACCATTCGCTGTATATGTGGCTGTTCGATGTGATTTATATATCGTTTAGTTTCACCTTTTTGGCTATTAGTGAGAAGCCATATTCGGAGGAGGTGTTAATGGGGTAAGTAAAGATTTAACTAGAGAACACCATAAGGTGCTTAATTGTCTGTAGAACTCCTTGAGGTGTCCCAATGGTAAGAGAACACCATGAGGTGTTCCAATAATTATAAGACAACTGAATGTGTTCTAATGTTCTTTTGTCTATAGAACACCACTAGATGTTCTTGGGTCTATGGTGTTCTATTATCTTTAGAACACCATGGAGTGTTCTATTGCCTATAGAATAACATGAAGTTTTATATTGCCTATAGAACACCATGAGGTTTTCTATTGACTATAGAACACCATGAGGTTCTCTATTGACTATAGAACACCATGAGATTTTATGTGGTCTACAGAAAATAAGGTGTTCTATTGCCAATAGAACGCCAGGAAGTGTTTTATTGCCTATAGAACACCATGATGCGTCCTATTGCCTATAGAACACCATGAAGTGTTATATTGAATACCGAATCACTTGAGAGGTTCTAATGTTAATAGAGGTGTTTCTTTCTTCTAATTACTATAGAACCTCTTGAGGTGTTCTAATTGCTATAGAAGACCTTGAGTTGTTCTACTTGAACCATGATGTGTTCTAATTGCTATAGAACACCTTGAGGTGTTCTAATTTCTGTAGAACACCTTGAGGTGTATATTGAATACCGAATCACTTGAGAGGTTCTAATGTTAATAGAGGTGTTTCTTTCTTCTAATTACTATAGAACCTCTTGAGGTGTTCTAATTGCTATAGAAGACCTTGAGTTGTTCTACTTGAACCATGATGTGTTCTAATTGCTATAGAACACCTTGAGGTGTTCTAATTTCTATAGAACACCTTGAGGTGTTCTAATTTCTATAGAACACCTTGAGGTGTTCTAATTTCTATAGAACACCTTGAGGTGTTCTAATTTCTATAGAACACCTTGAGGTGTTCTAATTTCTATAGAACACCTTGAGGTGTTCTAATTTCTATAGAACACCTTGAGGTGTTCTAATTTCTATAGAACACCTTGAGGTGTTCTAATTTCTATAGAACACCTTGAGGTGTTCTAATTTCTATAGAACACCTTGAGGTGTTCTAATTTCTATAGAACACCTTGAGGTGTTCTAATTTCTATAGAACACCTTGAGGTGTTCTAATTTCTATAGAACACCTTGAGGTGTTCTAATTTCTATAGAACACCTTGAGGTGTTCTAATTTCTATAGAACACCTTGAGGTGTTCTAATTTCTATAGAACACCTTTAGGTGTTCTTATTTCTATAGAACACCTTGAGGTGTTCTTATTTCTATAGAACACCTTGAGGTGTTCTAATTTCTATAGAACACCTTGAGGTGTTCTAATTTCTATAGAACACCTTGAGGTGTTCTAATTTCTATAGAACACCTTGAGGTGTTCTAATTTCTATAGAACACCTTGAGGTGTTCTAATTACTATAGAACACCTTGAGGTGTTCTAATTTCTATAGAACACCTTGAGGTGTTCTAATTTCTATAGAACACCTTGAGGTGTTCTAATTTCTAATATTCTAATGTCTTAAAGACAGCACTGAGGCATTTTATTTATTTTCCATTAATTCAAATTTCAGAAATCCCCATTTATATCAGCAAAATTCCCAAAACCGTCAAGTACGTTGGACGGTATTTCTTCGCTGGATATTAAACGGAGCTTTCCATTCTATTGTTGTCTTCTTCTTTGCTTATTTCTTCCTAACACTTAACAATGTTATACTCAACGAGGGGCAAACGGCTGAATATTATATTTTCGGATCAATTCTAATACAGCTGGTTGTTGTGGTTGGCAATTTGAAGTTGATGCTGGAATCCCACTACCTTAGCTACGTTTATATTGGCATCATCATTGCATCTTTCCTTGGGTTCATCTTGAGTACGGTTATATATAACTTTATTGATTTGTAAGTATAACTTCAATTATAAATTTTATTACTGTAAATTATTTCAATATTTTCCATTTTTACAGCCCCAATAACCCTGGTTTATATCATGCCTATAATCGTGTCTTCACCTCTCTACCCTGTTGGTTGTTCACAATTGTAACGGCCGTGGCGTGCTTGGTGCCCGATTATACAGCCAAAGTTATACGCAGTTTATTTTGTAGTAAATCATCAAAGTTGGAATGTCGATCCAATGGTAGAGGTGTTTAGTTTGTCAATTTTAGTTCTACGAATATTTGTTTTGTGATTTCAAAGTACTGAAGCGGAGTAGTTTATCTATTCCTGTTAAACAAAGCAGATACATCATTTTTTACTATCTATATACATAGTAATAAAAAATAACATAGAAATGTAAACTTGAGAATTGGAATTACTCACAAAAATAACACATAAAACTAATTGATAATTTAGTTAAGAAAAGTAATATAGCATAGAGAAGAGAGAACAAAAAACTCTCTCTAAATTATTAAGGTAAATAAATGTTTAATGACCCCCGCAAAGTTATACATTTATCTATGTGCTTGTATAATTACTTAATATTTGGACATTATTAGCAAATAATCAGTGAAATCAATTGATTGCGATTATGATAAGAGGTTATTTTTGATCCAACCAAAAAATATTTTGCTAATAGGTTATAATCTGCAAAACCTAAATACCAAATAAACAATAATGCAAATTATGAGATGTATGCATTAATTAGTCAGTAGCTTAACGGTGGTTATGGTAGCAGTTTTATTTATTGTGTAAATCGGAAACCATCAATATCGAACACCATTAGGATTTTGGTGTTTATATTTTAATATAGTTCTTTAATAAAAAAAAACGTAAAAATGGTAAAAATCCTGTGTGTACAGTTTGTAAAATATCGAATTGTTTAAATAAATATATTCTAACTTTGTAGGTTACCCGAGTCAGTGTTGTTGAGGACTCTTTGAAAATACCGATTGGTGGTAATGATGGTGTTGACAGGAAACGTCGTCGGAATAAACCAAATCATGTAAAAACAACAAAATATAGTTTGTTAACATTTTTACCCCTAAATATGTTAGAACAATTTCGTCGAATTGCTAATGTTTATTTTTTGATAATGACAATTGCATCGTTTTTAATTGGTAAGTAAATGATATGTAACTCTGGTTCGATTTTAAGTGAACTTAAGAAATGTAGTGTTTAGCTCAGAGGGGCTCCGCCGATAGAAATTGGTATGTCGAATGCTTTGAGCAGTGGACAGTAGGGGAGGGGTTTGTAACAGAGCCCGGAAAGTGAAATAAAGCATAAAACACAGATATTCAATACTAATTAATAAGTTGGTTGAGTGTAACCAAGGTTTATTCACAAGGTTTATTGCTTGTGAATAAACCTTGGTTATTGTGTATTTTTGGATAATTTTTAAACAAATTGAAAATTTTATCGATGCCTTTGTCAAAGCTAACTATGGTTATTTTTCTGAATTCAATATGTTTTGACAAAAAAAATTAGATATCAGTAGGCCTATACAGATCTTTTAACAACATTCGATATTGTTTAATTCTCTTTTGTTATTGTAAAAACAACAAAACAAACAAATGATATTGTTGTAAAATAAACAATGTCGAATGTTGTTAAAAAGTGGCACAATAGGCCTACTGTAGGTTTACTGGATGACCTTAATATATGGCAAATTACAAAATTCCTTTAAAATTCCATTAAAAATTTTTTTAAATTTTTTTTTGCGAGCACATTCATGATATTTTTACATAGGTTAAGGAAAATGTGCTGATTCAAAATCTGTTCGCGTTCACAAATTGGGATGCTGTGCACAAAAGTTATAGCGGTTTTAAATCTTGTATTTCAAATATAAGTTACATTAATTCCTATTTTTTGTAATTCGCGAATTTCTTTACAAATGGTTAAACACATTTGTTTTCTTAGCATACTAGTCAAATCACATTGAAATACGGTTTAATAGTCGCGAAAAAGAAATAAAAGCTTGAAAATATCTGAAAATAAAATAAATTAATTTTTGAATTGCCACAAAATATTTTTTTTTCAATTTTTGATTTTTTTGTATGGTTAAGATGATACGGTTTAGTCTAGATCTTCTACAACACGTGAAGATTTCTTCTAAAAATTCTTTTAGATGATTGTTAAATATCGGTAGATTCCTCTGGTAAGAGTTCTGACTTTAACCCTACGGTCAATAACCAAAAAAGTATACGTAGATCAATAACCGTGGTACATTTGTACCCATCCAAGGATAGCTCTATAACTCATTAAAACATTGGACTATCGTGAGGTTTTTTGTTTGAAATTAGTCTACACGGATCTGATCTAGATGTAGGAACTCAAAATTATATATACATTAAAATATTATATATTTAAATCCAAGCTTAAATGATAATCTATCTAAAACAATCATAGTAAATTCGTTATAGCTTTCGAATGGGTTAAGCTTTTTTAGTTATTTTTTTATTGGGATCTTATTTAGGTGTTCATCAAGCCCTCTGCAAATTTCTGTGGCCCTAGACAACATGGGGCCATCAGGGCGACTCGTGGAAGTCAGAAACTACCTTGGTTTTCCTTTAGTATACATGGACTAAAACAATTATTATTGCCAATTATTCACATTTTATGAGTTTAGAGATTGCGATTGGCGCATTTTTAACTTTATTTAATACTTTAAAACGTTATTTAATGATAGTTAATATATGTACGCCAATTTAGAATTGTAATAATTCAGACTAAATCGATTACAGAAAATGTTTCAGGCCCAATATGAAGAATAATTGAAAAATTACGGACATTAATCATTGTTTTTGTGCCTGTATACCAAGGGAAAACCAGGGTAGTTTCTGAATTCCACGAGTCGTCCTGATGGCCCCATGTTGTCTAGGGCCACAAAAATTTCCAGAGGGGTTGATGAACACCTAAATAAGATCCCAATAAAAAATAACTAAAAAAACTTAACCCATTCGAAAGCTATGACGAATTTACTATGATTGGTTGAGATAGATTATCATTTAAGCATGGATTTAAGTATATATTATTTTAATGTATATATAATTTTGAGTTCCTACATCTAGATTAGATCCGTATAGACTAATTTCAAACAGAAAACCTCGCGATAGTCCAATTTTTTAATGAGTTTCAGAGCTATCTTTGGATGGGTACAAATGTACCACGGTTATTGATCTACGTAGGTAATAACTTTAAAAAATTGTAAAAATTATATATATGGAAAATATTTATAATTTTTTTCTTCGATTATGTGTGAAAATACCTCAAGAATGATTCCTCAAAATTTGATCCAAATATCTCTATTATTGAAAATTTTACAGCATTTTTATTCAAAAAAAGGTACAAATGTACCCGGTTATTGACCGTAGGGTTAAAAATGACCAAATATATTGCAGTTACAGTATATGAAAATGATCAACATTAAAAAGCATGATGCGCATGCGGTTTTCGTATAAACCGATAATTATGCATTTTTCGAGGTTTCATTTAGGGGCCAAAGTGTGCCGCTCGATGCATTTTATTATGCAAAAACCCTAAAAATGACTAAAAATGACGCAACGTGCATATGATTTTTATGCGCATCCGATTTCAGTAATCTCCTATGAAAATACACAAAAGGACACCTATTTTAAAAGAATCGGTTCAGAACCGCGAGGTACCTATATCCGCCGTTTTATTGGGCGGATTTGAACATGAATGGGCTCATTAGATCCGGCACGTAAAAAACTAACATCACGCGGTGTTCCACGGAATTTGAATGGACTTTCTTAATTTTAGACTTATATAAAATATAATATATTTTATAAAAATGTACGCACCAATTTTTCGTCTTTGGAACCCAATTGCAAAGAAGCTACGGTGAGAACGTTCATGAAATATACACTAAACGAAGCAAAATCACGAGTTCCTCAATCCTATAATTTGTTTAGTCCATTATCCTAATTATAAGAAAAATTAAAAAACACCGAAAATCCGGCTTAAAAATGTCAGCATCCATTTTGGGTGGATGCAGTGATTATATCGACAAATCATACATTAGAACCATATTGTCCATGGGGTATTCGGCAACTTGGTCACTAATCACACGTGCGTGCGTTGTGTAGTTTAGCCCAGATCAGGAAGGAACACAAAAAAACTCGTTGCCTTCAACACATTTTCACCCATTTTTTTACATTACCACCATCACAGCTTCCACGTAAATTATAATTTTTTACCTTCAGTAGTTTTGGCGGTTTATTTGGGATACCATTTGTATTTTGTTTTTGCAAAATAGTCAGGCTGAATCCCAGTTTGTTGTTTTTATAAAAAAAAAACAACTATTTATTAGTGGGGAATGTATGGCATTGTTTGTCGAGGGGTAAGGCAGGGAAGACTATAGTTTCGGATCACTCCACTGATCCTCATCAGTTACCTTAGTTTTTTGTTGGCATATTCTCCCCAGAAGCTATTGCTTCTATACAAAAAACCTTTCATAGCCAATGTCTCTTGTAACAAAGCGAAGTACTTAGCTGACCAATGACATAAACTGCGTGAGAATTTCGTTGGTGCCTCACTTCGAGGTTAACAAGGCATTTACAAACAATAGCATACCTTCCCCACTGTTGTCACATCGCGACAAATATTTTAAGATTTTGACAAGAACACATCATTTTATAGAAATGAATTTAAATTATATGCAATTTGTTCATAATACACCACTTACGAACACAAACATTTCAGCTGGTTTTTAACAATATTTGTGTTGGGGTGATTTTTTTTAATATTTTTAGTTTAGGCACAATTTTGTATTTAAAACCAATAAGGAAAGTTCAAAAGTTGGACGGGCCGACTATATGATACCCTTCACCACTTTGGGTAGATACGAGAGATGCTCATATGTACAATATCCTGTAGATAGAATATGCATAACATTTTTGGGGGCTCATTGAAATGGAATCGGAAGAAATTAACTGTGTGAAGTACATTGATATTTGACATACTTCTGAAATTTATGAAATTGTATGAAATCGAGCAATCGACCTAATTGGACAAACTTTAGTTATTTGGAACATCATTAGGTGAAATCGGATGAAAATATATATGGAAGCTATATCTAATCCAATACACTGTGCAATATTTCATGTAAATTGAACAGGCATAGGCTCCTCCATTTGCTTTTCGTAGATCCCTCTGTCGTGGAAACGTGCACCATTTGTATGTGGCAGCGGTATCTACATCTGAACCGATTTCAACAACAAAATATCGTGCAAATAGAACAGAATCTATGTTGCACGATTTACATAAAATGGGACTAAAGTATATATGTGAGCTGTATTAAAATCTGAACCTATTTCAACAAAACTTCACGGATGGCAACCTGTAGTAACTTCAAAAAGTTATGCAAAATTTATGTCTCAATCGGACAAACATTGGCAGTATGGTGCTCCATTAACATAAAATCGGCCGAAACTATATATAAGAGCTATATCTAAATCTAACTCGATTCCAACAAAACTTCGCAAACACCAATCTGGACCTAATTGAGTACTCTCTGCAAAATTTTGTCTCAATCGAACCAATATTGGGAGTTTTGTGCACCATTTACATAAAATCGGACGAAACTATATATGTGAGCTATATCTAAATCTGAACCTTTTCTCTCCAATTTCAATAAGTGACCCGTGGCAAATTTCATCCAAATGCGACCTGTACTTTGCTCACAAAAATACATGGACGGACATACCTAAATCGACTCAGAAAATAATTCTATGCATATTCTCAAAAGGAACCATGGGTCTATCTCGATTCGCTTTGCTTGTTACAAACATATGGACAAATACATAATACCTTTACCACAGTGTGGAGAAGGGTATAAAAACATGGGTAAAGATTTTTATTCAGAAATATTTTGTAGGGCGTTTTTTATACTCTACTCATTTATGCTGTCAGGGTATTATACATTTGTGTGGTTCCACGAAATATTAATCCTAGATCCACCATTTAGTTAACCGATTGGCATATCTCGAAAAATTAAATTTTTTTATTCCATGGCGTATATATTTACTCCTAAAGGACATAGAACAGAGAATTTGATAGTATATCCAAGAGGAGTGTTTGACCTTTAAATTGACAATAGTTTTATTGTTTTATGTGTGGTTACCACCTTAAAGTGCATAAATTTCGGTCTGATGGCTCGCATAAGGTTCGGTTATGGTCAAGGACGACGCCTATAATTTTCGATGATGATCATATGCTATTTGGAGGATAAAATGGAGCGAACATTTTTTTGTCTAATTATCTAGTAGCTCTTAACGCCTCAATTACAATCGGAACATCATTAGGTCAATATTTAGCGGGCCAAATGAACCAAAACTTTTTTGTGTAAAATTAAAAAAAATAATCTTATGGAATATTTTTTTACTCCAGGAAAACATGATTCGGTCAAAAGAGTGCAATTATCGCGAAATATTGCCCATAGATCCGCAGAAACTTGGAGGTCATTGGAAGTTGTGTAGGGTATCATATGGTCGGCCAAAAAAGCGTAGAGTAGCTGTTGACCTCTATTCGGCGAAAAGAGTGCGAAAATTGCGAAATACTGCCCAGGCTCGGAATATAGATCCGCAGAAACGTTGAGCTCAGTGCTAGTTATGTAGGGTATCATATGGCCGGCCCCGTCCGTTCCACTCATTATGTAGACCATTTAAAAATATTAAAATATCTCCCAAATCTGTATATCAGATTAAAGGTATTATGTAATCTCGGTATAAAATAAATAAAATAAAATAGTTGCCATATTTCACACAAAAGCATTGGCCATTTAGACCAGATATATATTGACCGATCTCTTCGCTGGTGATCCAAAACGGCATCTAAAATTTAGTGATGTTCGGTTCATAATTACGGATTTTAGAGCGACTAGACTAACGCATAATTACCGAACCTACATGTAAAATTTAATGAGAATTGGTCTATAACTTCTGTCTGCACTTTGATTAAAAATTTAATAGACAGGCGGACACATATAGTGATATCTATTCAGCTAGTCGATATATAATAATAGATATATTAAAAGTTAGGACTGCTCAAACTTATAAGAACCTCACAACTTAGTTGTGGAAAACATACAAAGGGTATAGTGTGTAACGTAGATCCAATATTGACCAATATAGATATCGTTATTTAAGAGCTGTGCCAAAAAATTGGACTGATATTTTTGGCCAACAAATTTAACAACTTGTGAACCAAATGCCAAAAAATATTGTTTAAAAAAGTGTCCAAGAAATCCTAGAAATTTTGGGGCATAGCGAAACTTCGGAAATCAAAAATGGCAACAAGATAGAAATTGAGGATATTCTTCCACAACCTAAAATTTGGAGAGGTTCCGTAAAAAATGCAACTTCTGAATTTCAAAATTCCAAAAGCAATTTTAAAGATTACATATATGGCTCTGGTATTAACTAGGTTTATTGACTTCACTCGAAAATTAGCAAAATGGCGGAACTAAAAAAATTATTTCTTGGAAAATAGCACCAAAAACCAAGCAGGCAAATAAGGATGGTCTTGACCGATTAAATTTATCCTAGTTCATACGATATGTATGTAGGTCCAGAATAACGTATTAAAATTTAGAACTGATTGGATTATTAGCATTTGAGTTATCGTGCACTTACGAATGGCGGGCTGTTTTTTTTTTTTTTTTTTTTTTTTGAAATCGGCTTTAAAGTTAGACAATCACTCATAGTGTCGCTTGAAGCTGACACAATAAATCGGCTATATCTTCAAGAGTAGTTGAGATTTTCACTTGCAAATTTTTAGAAGACATTGTTGAGAAGTTATAGGTTCAAATTAATTAATTACCGAGAATGGGGGGATAAAGGATATATTACAATCAAATTCACTTAACGTTGGGTCTTTACGTAGATTGATAGTCCGTTACATTTATTAAAAAATGCCTTTCGTTTTCCAATTTTTGCAGATAGTCCCGTATCTCCTATGACTGCTCTGGTACCATTACTATTCGTAATAATTGTTACAGCAGTAAAACAAGCCTATGAAGATTTTCTTCGTCATAAGTCGGATAATAAAGTGAATTGTGCTAAAGGTAATGATTTGGAAATCGGAAAAAAACAATCCCGCCCTTAAAAAAATTCTATTTTTTATAGTCACCATAATTAGTAAAGGAGTTAAGAAAGAAATTCAATCACAATATGTGACACCAGGAGATTTGGTCTATGTCCAACGTGATTGTGATATACCCTGTGATTTGGTGCTGTTATCATCCTCCGATTCCCGTAGAAAATGTTTTGTAACCACTGCTAATTTAGATGGCGAGTCAAATTTGAAAACATTACATGTACCCAAGGACCTACCAGAAATTGATTTTAATAATTTCCAAAATGTCGGTATTATAGAATGCGAAAGCCCCCAAACGGATCTTTATAGTTTTAATGGAAAAATTGAATTACCAAATGCTGCCACCTTGCCACTATCATCCGAAAATATTTTATTGCGGGGTTCAAGACTCAAAAACACGGAATGGATTATTGGTTGTGCCGTCTACACCGGAATGTCTACAAAATTACAATTAAATTCACGACTGACGCGAAGTAAATTCGCCTCGAGTGAAATATATTTGAATCGTTTCTTGGTCTTCATTGTAATACTGATGATTGCGATTGTAACCGTATTGTATTTTTTGAAAAGTGAAACAGAATTGAATGTAGTTCCCGGGATGTCATATTTGGGCTTACCCATTGATGTTTATGATTTCAAACAATTCTTTCAAGATTATATGTCATTTTTGGTATTATTTAAGTATTTAATACCAATATCGATGTATGTCACAATTGAGTTGTATCGCGTTATGGCTGGTCAATTTATACGCTGGGATATAGAACTGTACGATGCGGAGATTGATGAACCGTGTATGGTGAATACAACGAATTTGAATGAAGAATTGGGTCAAATAAATATGATATTTTCGGACAAAACTGGTACTTTGACGAAGAATGAAATGGTGTTGCAACAGTGTTCCATTGGTGGAAGGAAATATTTTTATAGGGGGAATTATTTGGAGGAGGAAGGTGGTGCGAAGGAGATGGTGGATTTCAACATATTTGATGTAAGAGTACGAAGGAAAAAGATTTACTTATTTGATAATAATACGGGTTTTTTATATTATAGGATCATCATAAGAACTTCTTGCAAGCCCTTTCTATCTGCCATACAGTTCAGGTTGTTGGCCAACCAATGCACATTCCTTTGGAAGGGATGAATAAATCAAAAAGTAAGTATGGATTTTATACCCTTCACCACACTTTGTGCATATGTTTGTAACAGGCAAAAGGAAACGAGAACCCATATATGAGAAAAATAGAATCACTTTCTAAGTCGATTTTTGCATGTCCGTCCGTCTGTAGATGTTAAATTGTAAACAAAGTACGGCTCGCATTTATGATCCGATTTGGATGAAATTTGACATAAGTCACTTATTTGGCCCAAGGAAGAACCCTATTGAAATTGGCTAAAATCGGTTCAAATTTAGATATAGCTCCCATATATATTTTCGTCCGATTTAAGGTAAATGGGGCACCAAAGACCCTGTATATTTTTCGATTTACACGAAATTTGCAAAGGGTACTGAATTAGTGTTAAATTTCGAGAAAATCGTGTCCGATTTAAGACAAATGATGTACCAAAGTCCCTATTTATCTTTCGATTTGCACGAAACTTTGCACAGCGTACTGAATTAAGAGTAGAATTATGTGATGTGGGGTACTAACTTAAGTCTAGAATGATGTGTTCTAAGTTTCGTGAAAATCGGTTCAGATTTCGATATAGCTCCCATATATATTTTTGTCCGATTTAAGATATATGGGGCACCAAAGTCCCTATATATTTTTTGATTTACACGAAATTTGGCATAGGATACTGAATTAAGCCTATAATGATGTATGTTAAGTTTCGTGAAAATCGGTTTAGATTTTGATATAGCTCCCATTTATACAGTTGACCGATTTAAGGTAAATGGTGCTCCAAAGTCCCTATAGATCCTTCAATTTTCACGAAATTTTACATGGCGTACTGAATTAGGTCCAGAATGACGTGTGTTAAGTTCCGAGAAAATCAGTTCAGATTTAGATGTAGCTGCCATATATAGTTTTCTCAGATTTTATGTAAACGGTGCACCAAAGTCCCTATATATCCTTAAATTTTCACGAAATTTGACATGGCGTACTAAATTAAGTCTAGAATGATGTGTGTTAAGTTTCGTAAAAACGGTTTAGATTTCGATATAGCTCCCATATATATTTTTGTCCGATTTAAGATAAATGGGGCACCAAAGTCCCTATATATTTTTCGATTTACACGAAATTTGGCACAGGGTACTGAATTGGGTCCAGAATGCTGTGTGTTAAATTTGGAGAAAATCAAGTCCGATTTAGATATAGCTTACATATATATTTTCGTCCGATTTTATGTAAATGCTGCTCCAAAGTCCTTATATATCCTTAAATTTTCATGAAATTTGACATGGCGTACTAAATTAAGTCTAGAATGATGTGTGTTAAGTTTCGTGAAAATCGGTTCAGATTTCGATATAGCTCCCATATATATTTTTGTCCGATCAAAGTCCCTATATATTTTTCGATTTACACGAAATTTGGCATAGGGTACTGAATTAACTCTAGAATGATGTGTGTTAAGTTCCGAGAAAATCGGTTCAGATTTTGATATAGCTCCTATACTAAATATCTTTCAGATTTAGATATAGCTCCCACATATATTTTCGTCCGATTTTATGTAAATTGTGCACCAAAGTCCCTATATATACTTCGATTTTCCCGAAATTTGTCATGACATTCTAAATTAAGTCTTGAATGATGTGATGTGAATGATGTGTTAAGTTTCCTGAAAATCGGTTCAAATTTTGATATAGCTCCATAGCTCCGAACGGGTGTCTGATTGAGATTATATTTTTAACAGTAGCGTGTATCAAGTTGCTATAAATCGTTTTCCATAAATTTTTCCCATTGTACGCAAACGATTCTAAATCTGACCGATTGAAATTAAATTTAGCATAGGTTGCAGAAAGGTGTATGTCCTTCGAGTGAACATTTACATGAAATTGTTAAGATACATATGTCCAATATACATAAAGTGGTGAAGGGTATCATATAGTCGGCCCAGTCCGACTTTACTACTTTCCTTACTGTACTACCTTACAGTACTACCTAAGAGTGGATTTCTTTTTTAATATTTTCTAATTTCTCAAAATGTATTTTAATGTGCATTTAGGTACAGAGAAAACAATGAACGAAACCACGATTACCGCCATGAAAACTGAAGAAATAATCAGGTAAGTTTTAAACTATCAGCATTTAGGGACTGAAATCTAAATCATCAAATCATTTTCCACAGAAATTTAGATTACCAAGCCTCCAGTGCCGATGAGAGAGCCCTAGTTGAGGCTTGTGCCCAATTGGGTTTTATTTTCATTGGTGATGATAATGAAAGTTTAAAAATTCATAACAATTCACACCTCTCGGATGAACTTCATTTCCATCGATTACATATATTGGAATTTACCTCCGAACGTAAACGAATGAGTGTTGTAGTCAAAGATAAAAATGACTCAATATGGATTTATACAAAGGGTGCTGAGAGTAGTGTATTTCCTTTGTGCGATCAACAATCGCTGGATGTGATTTCACAAACCAATTCACATATAATGGATTTTGCCCAGCAAGGTCTACGGACATTGGCAATTGCTCGGCGTAAAATTGATGACAAAGAATATGAGAAATTTTTAATGGAGTGGGAAAGGGCAAATATTTCGTTGGGTAATCGAAAGGAGTTAAGTGAGAAGTGTTATGCCATTCTGGAGAGGGGTAAGTTTTATAAGGGGAAAGGTAAATTAAAAATGTATAATAAAAATATTCGATAAAAATTATTTTTCAGATTTAGAACTCCTGGGGGCAACAGCCGTCGAAGATGCCCTGCAAGAGGACGTTGCTGAAACACTAAAATCTTTACAAATAGCTGGTATCAAAATATGGGTTCTGACCGGAGATAAAATGGAAACTGCACTCAATATTGGCATATCATGTGGACACATTAAACTTACTTCCTACAGATATACCATCAGTAATTGTCGAGACAGGGAAGCCATTTCATACCACCTGACAACGCTACAACATGAAATCGAATTTAGAAAAAATCAAGAGTGTTCCCTCCTCATTGATGGTGACAGCTTAGCTACGGCTTTAGCTGAGGCACCCAACGAATTTCGCATTGCTGCAATTAAATGTTCAGCCGTTTTATGCTGTCGCCTAAGTCCATTACAAAAAAGTCAAGTGGTTGCGTTAATAAAAAATGCTCCCGAACAATATATTACCGCAGCCATTGGTGATGGTGCGAATGATGTTAGTATGTTGCAGGAGGCACATGTTGGTATTGGTGTAATGGGTAGGGAGGGATGTCAGGCAGCACAATGTTCTGATTTTGCTATTGGCAAATTTTTTATGCTACAACGATTGCTGCTCGTTCATGGTCATTATCAGACACAACGTTTATCATTGCTGCTTTTGTATTTCTTCTATAAGAATGTCTTCCTTATGAGCATCATTTTCCTGTTTCAATTCTATACGCTATATTCAACAACAGCTCCCTACGATTCTTTGCCAATGACATTGTATAATATTATATATACCACATTGCCGATATTGTTTATATCGTTAACGGAAAAGCCTTACAAGGAGGAGGAGTTAATGAGGTAAGTTTAAGTACTTAAAAATTCAAAATTCGCATTTAAAAAAATTAAGGAAGAGGCATCCCGAAATCCGGATCCCTAAAGTTTTGATCCGGATTCTTAGATAAGAAATCGGAATTATTTATCATATCATATTCAAGTTAAAACTAGTGAGCGGAGCAGTATAGTCGGACGAGGCGACCATATGATACCATACACAACTACCACGAGCATTTAATTTTCTGCGGTTCTATATTCTGAGCCTTGGCAATATTCCCTATATTTTCACCTTCTTGACCGATTATAGGTCAACAGCTCCACATTCTAACCCAGGCGAATATTTATGACATAAAATAAAAATTTTGTTACTTTAGATTTTGGTTGATTTGGCCCTAAAAATATTGACCGATTATTATTCAAATAGCCGTTCTACGTATTTGGTCAGATTCTCTGCCACTTGAGCTGGGGCATCTTCATCTATTCTTCCAACATCACCTAGCCAACGTAGTCGCTGCAGCTCGATCCGTCTTACAATGTCGATGTCCGAGAATAGATGGTATAGCTCAAGGTTCGTTCTACCGTCAACGCAGATCGGCCCATAGATCTTTCGAGGAATTTTTCTCTCAAACACTCGAAGAGCTGCCTAATCTGTTTGCACAAGTACACATGCTTCAGATCCATATAATAGCACGGGTAGTATCAGCGTCTTGTAGAGTGTGAGTAGTAGCATCTGTTGACCAACACTATCATTCTTCGGTTTTCAAAGATGATGTTATTAGTTTTGTTTAAGGTGGTACCGTTCGCCACCTCGAAGCTGTAGTTTTAAAGTTCCACAGTTGGTCCGAGTCCACTGGATGTCTTGCGTGTTGATACCATCGGCTTGGTCTTTTCGCCATTTACTGTCAGTCCCACTTTAGCAGACTCCTTCTAAATTTGTTCAAAGGTGGCTGTTACCGCTCGCAATGTTCGACCCATTATGTCGATATCATCGGCGTAGGCAAGTAACTTATGCTGGTTTGGTGCCATTTCTGTTCAAATTTGCATTTCGTATGACTTTTTCCAGCAGGATGTTAAACAGGTCACATGACAAACTGTCACCTTGTGTGAATCCTTATTCGTCATTGAAGTGCTCCTATCCGACTTTAACTACTGACCTTGTGCCAGTTAAAATTATCCTGGATAGCAGTATTAATTTTGAAGGAATACCGAACGCAGATATGACTTTAAACACCTCTGAGTGGATTGGGCTGTCGAATACGGCTTTGTAGTCAACGAATTGGTGGAATGTCTCGATGTATTTTTCAGCATTTGGCGCAGAGTGAAAATCTGGTCAATGGTGGATTTGCCAGGTCAATAATATTATTGACCCTTTCATTCAGTCGTTCACACAGTACGCTGAATAGCACTTTATATGCAATGGGAAGGAGATTTATTCCTCGGGGTTTGCCCTATACGCTGAGTTTTTTCACATCAGTAGCATTACGACACTCCTGATCGTACCATGGGTACCTTGATGATGGTTTTTGGTACCCAAGTTTTGCTTTTGATGCAGTTTGTGCAGAGTGGGCTATTCTTTACCATTGTGATTCTATACTATTATCGCGACAAAAGTGCTTTCGTCAAGCAGCTGCTGTGTTCGCAGCATTGAAATCTCCTGATGTTGAAGAACTTCGCTTTTATACAGATTATAGCAATTCGCTCATCTACTGGAGTGAATATGGAGTGCAGATTCGCAGATCGTGGTCCTTTGGTTTGCGGGAGTCGTCAACATTATGGGGGTTTGGTTTGGTTTTTGTTTACATATCAGTTCACTATTTCAAAGGGTGATGAAAATAGCTACCCCCGGGTGACACCGCAATTCAAAATGTGTATGGTTCGGTTTATAATAGTGGTCCTCTAAATAGAATATGTAAATATTACTCCCACATCCATGTACATACATCACTATAATTAATTGAAATTTAAAGGTCAACGACTTCTCTTGAATATACTCTCAAAGTCTCCGGCCTTTGCATTTCAAGAATATATGTCTAAGAATGCAAATTTTGCCATAAGTCTCAGAATAGACTAAAACTCCAAAATCAGCCTAAACATCAAAAATCTTAAAAATATGAAAACTCATTTTAGGGTTAAAACCGTTATAATCAATTTTTAATTAATTTGAATTTTAATATTTCTTCAGAAATCCCGAACTCTATCGTAAAAACACCAAAAATAAGCAACTACAATGGCCAACATTTTTAGAATGGATTTTCTTTGGTCTTTATCATTCGATCATTTGTTTCTATTTTGCCTCGTGGATATTCTCTGGCAATGATGTTATATTGAATGGTGGTCAAACTGCAGATTTTGCCTGCTATTGTGCCTTGCTGCTACACATTGTTATCATTGTGGTTAATTTGAAAATATGGTTGGAATCTCAATATGTTACCTATTGGTATATTGGAACAATTATTTTGTCGATATTGGCATATTTTCTTACAACGTTTCTGTATAACTTTTGGAATCAGTAAGTGGACGGTTTGAAAATATATAGAAAATTTAATTTTAATTTTATTTTTATATTTTTCCAGTCATTATGATACCAATATCTATGGAGCATATAATAAACTTCTGGCCTCCATACCAGTGTGGTTGTTTTGTGTTATTACCACAGTGTCCTGTTTGCTGCCTGACTTTGTTGTTCGAGTGCTTAGACAGACTTTTAATTTTTCACGTGAAAATAAAGTTGTGTGCTGAATATAATTATTAGATTGTATTAAAACATATCGAAAAAGATATTTTAAATTATATTTTGTAGCAGAATGTGATGATTGCTATAGATTATTTTTATATAAATTATAAATAGAAAAGCACTCAACTTTTATACACCAATAACATAATAAATTTGAAATATTTTTGATATTTATTTTGTTTTCGTTATTTTAATCAATATTATAAAGCAGTTGATTTTTATCATTTTTATAACTCGTGTACATTTTATAACATGATATGCCTACTATAATATTGTCATTGAGGCAGAAAGTTTTTTTATTTTTAAATAAACATTATTCTACTTAAAATGTTATTTTTCTATTAACTAACTACTTCGTTAGTGAATGTGGTATTTTTTTTTTAAATGTAATAGCGACCATAATTAAAAGTTTAGTACCATTTAGTACCCATGTTCTCTTATAGTATATATTTGCTAAATTAATTCCATACCTCAACACAAATAAAGTAGACTAAATTTTGTATCATTTGTAACCTGTTGTACTCTTGTATTACTTATTTCCAAAAAATCCAAATTTCAAATATATATAATCCAAATTTAGTACCAGTTAGTACACATTAATATACATTTCCATAACTACCTACATTAACAATCATAAGAATACGAATTTCCAAAACTTTCCACATAAACCAATCTTAATTCCAAATTTCAGGATTCCATCTCTATTGGTTCACCTGAATCCAAATTGTATCAAATTTAGTGCCATTTAGTACGCATAAGAATAAATTTCCATTACTACCTAAATCATGCAATCCAATGGAAACCTTTATACCCAATTTTAGGTTTCCAGCTCTATAGGTTCACTCTAAATCCAAATTGTACCAAATTTAGTGCTATTTAGTACACATTAATGTACATTTCCAATACTTCTTACGTACCCCAACAGTGATACTAACTCCAAATTTCAGGTTTCCAGTTCTATTGGATCATTTAAATCCAAATTGTATCAAATTTAGTACCATTTAGTACACATTTCCATTACTACCTACATCATACAATCTAATCTTATTTCCTAATTTCAGGATCCAATCTTATTTCCTAATTTCAAACTGTACCAAATTTTGTACCATTTTGTACACATACGTATGAATTTCTGAAACTATTTACATACCTCAATTCTATACTCCAATAGAAATATTACTTTCAATTATTTAGTATTCCAGCTCTATTGGTTTACCTAAATCCAAATTGTACCAAATTTAGTACTTTTTGTACACCTAAGTACAAATTTTCAAAACTGCACATCCCAATCCTTCACCTCAACAGGAATCCTGACTACAAACAACAGGATACTCCATCGGTTCTCCCAAAATTCAAATTGTACCAAATTTAGTAAATTTAGTACACATAATTACGAATTCGCAAAACTTCCTACACTCCATCAGTAATCTTAAATTCAAATGTTTTCTATTCCAGCTCTAAATTTAAATTGTATCAAATTATGTATCACTTTGTATCCATAAGTACAAATTTCCAAAGCTACATCCATACCCTAATCTAAATTTCAGGATTTAAACTGTATCGGTTTCTCCAAGTTCAAATTATAATCAATTTAGTACAGTTTAGAACTTTTCGTATACATGAGTACACGCTTTCAAAACCACCTCCTTATATCGACATACTTTTCAACCTTAATTCGCACTCCAAATTTCAAGTTTTATGCTCTATACATTCCCATACTACGAAATTGTCCTAAATTTAGTACATTAAAATACTTTTCGGATACTTATAGTTCGACTGTCCAAAACGTTTCCTATATCTATTCTACACTTCATTCTACACTCCTGAACCTTCATTTTAAATTTAAAAGTTCTAGCTCTACCAGTTCACCAGATACAAATGGTACCACATTTAATACTTTTTAGTACTTCACGTTAGTACGGCACGTTCTAGTACGAATTTCCAAAAGCCCAGCTACAATTTTCAAGATTCTAGCTTTAACCGTCTGGCCGTTGATGAAACGTTGAGTCAGTGAATCAGTCAATCACTTTACTCCTTTATTAGTATAGATAATCAGATTGCTGTAAAATGTTTATACGTCTAATTATTCTATTCGGCGATATTGGCACATCTTAAATCAAAAATATGAACCAAGACTATTAATTTCCAAAATGTTGATAACATTCTTGATGCGGTTATATTTTAAAATATAGGAGGTCTCCTTAACGTTGTTATTTTCTATCACTTATTTTCTGAGCGTAATGCTGATTTCTAATATTACGCCGAGATCACTGAGAATTTCGTCATATTTTATAGAATCTAATATAATTTATGACAGACTCAGTTGAGCAAAATTATGACATTGTTAACCGGTTTATGATATCAATAAATGTTTGTGATATCAATTTATCATTGGGTTTAATATTAACATCCATTCCCAGATATATACATTTTTTGGATCAAAAATAATGCAAATCATTGCCACAACAATAGTAATAAAAGCAATAAGATCTACTAGGTAATTGATAAATACAAAAACAAAAAATACTTCGTAATTGGAATGCTATTTTGATAAAAATTGAGCAGAAAAATTATTGGATTTTTTATAAATTCAGGGACCCAATTTCGATTAAATATATAAATTGGCTTATATGAATGTGATAACTTAAGGAGAAGAAAAAAATACATAATTTTGTAGTTGTTTTTTGGGTATTAAAGAAGCGCCCGTCATATTAATAGCGGATTTGATTTTAGGGATCAGAAGGGAAAGGGTATAGGGAAACCCTGCAGACAGTAGCAACACGTAATGCGAGAGAGCATTTTAGGGAGAAAACGAGAGAGGAGAAACGTATTTTAAGAACAAGAAGAAAGGACAAGAAAAACGTGAACGGAAGCAAATCGAGATGTGTAGGAGTCAGAACGAAGTTTGGAAATTTTACCAACGAGTAAAACACGAAGGCTTTGCTGCAAGCACATCCTCCTGTAGAGATAAGATGGAAACCTGGTGCCGGGCACAGATATCGTGTAACAAATAGTAACGGTGAAGAAGATACCCAAGAACAAATAAGAGAGACGGTATAGAGTGTATACCACCTAGCCAAGATGAGGTCAGAGTAGCTGAAGAACAATGAATCAGCATGATTGGAACCTCAGCATCCTGTGTCCCGTGCACAAAAAAAGGAGACAAGACGATATGCACCAACTATAGAGTAGAGGGGTTCGAAGAAAGTGCTCGCAGAGTAAATGGGAAACCTCATATAAAATTACTTACTAAAAGAGAACGTAGAGAATGAGCTCCTTTCCATCGCATATAAAGTGCTATCCAATATTGAACTTTGCCTTTATTGGACTATACCAATGCGGCTTCCGGCTTGGCAAATCCACCATTGACAATATTTTCACTCTGCGCAAGATCCCGGAAAAGACTCACATAAAATACATCGACACATACCACCTATTCGTAAACTATAATACCGTATTCGACAGCCCTATTCGTTAAGAGGTGTTTAAAGCCATGTCTGCGTTCGGCACTCCTGTAAAATTAATGCGGTTAAAAATATCCTGCCAGTTAAAGTTATCCTGCATATAACTTTAACTGGCACAAAGTCAGCAGTTAAAGTCAGAAAGGACCATTCGGAGCCCTTCAATACCGAAGGTGACAGTTTCTCGTGTGATGTTTGTAACATCCTGCTGGAAAAGGTTATACGAGGTGCAAAGGTGAACAGATATGACACTGTGTACACCAAACAACACATATTACTCACATTCGACGATGACATCAATATAATGGGTCGAACATTGCGAGCGGTAACAGCCACCTTTGAACAAATTGAGAAGGAGTCTGCCAAAGTGCATCTTGCAGTAAACGGCGAGAAGACCAAGCTCATGGTATCAACTCGCAAGACGTCCAGTATTTTGATTTAAAGTTAGAGTCATTGTTGGGATGTAGGATTGGACTATGTTGGAGATTGTGGAAATTTGTAATTTGTGGTACAAAATGAAAAAAAAAATCGCTGTTGCAAACATAAATTTACTGTACAATGTAAATTGTGAGTGAACCGAAAGACATAGTATCCTGAAATTGGGAAGTAAAATTTTCATTTGTTGTATGTAAAATATGTAGTTTTGAAAAATTTATAGGAAGTTGCAGGAAGTTTTGGAAGATTGTATGTTGATTAGCTTTAGACATGTTTAAATAATTCTCACATCCCCTAAGGAAATAGCGGGCATATACTAGTATTAAATAAAATTATAACATTTTATTGTTTTTCAAATCTAAGTATGGACACTTAAAATTTGTGATATATTTTCCATGCAAACCTCACATATTGTCTTTACCTAAATAAAATTTCCTAAATTATATATTTTATGAGCCGTTTAATTATTACTCATTTCTGAAGGATTAGGAAAAAATAAATATTTGAAGAATAATTTGCGTTATATTTATAATACAAAGTAAAAAATCTTCTTCCGAAGGTGTGGTAAAAATGACTAAGTCAGTTAAACCGACAATAGTTTCATGTTTAACCCATTATAAGTTTAAACTCACAACAAAAATTTTTATCATTCTAAAAAAAAGCACAAACAACAAATAAATGATTATTTAAATTGTTATAGGCTGAGGTGCAGGTGGAGTTCTATGAAAATTATTGACATATGACAACAACAAAATACATTGTTAACAAAAAACAATAACGTCTATACAAAAACAAAAAAAATATTGCTGATAAGATTTGAACAAAAAAAATCAAAAAGAGTTTAGACGCCGTGTTGCGACTCTTATCATTCAAAACAAAAGATTTTGCAAAGCACCAGAATGAACACACAAAAAACAATTGTAGATATCACTCTCTGAACGGTGTACAGGTGCCTATTATTCTCTGAAATGGGTTTTTGAGTGCTCTTTTTCTCTCAGGTGTTAATAGGGCTTTAGATAACCGAAACCATGGCAGTTGATTAAATAGTCGACGGTACGGTTAGCATGGCGTTTGGCTGTGACATGACATGACTGTGTTGTGGTTTCGGT